AACTGCTGGTTATTGTTCTAGCTACTTTCAACGTTGTACTGTTCACTTTTTGTTGTATACCACCAATCAGTATAATTTCTTCAAAAACAGAGTACGTATGTAGGATCATAAAGGCAACCTCAAGTTGAGCCTTCTCAACCAAACAGAGTGAAGAAGCATTCGAAGCATATCGAACGGTTGGGACGGTCTATTGAGAACGAAATGTCTCTGAACCTGCAAAACCCTTCTCTGTAACACCAAGTAGCGTCTCCAAGACACGCTCTTTAGTATCGATTTGAGCTCTGGGATCTTCTCAGAAGGAACATGAATGGTGAACGTACTCCAATCAAGAACGTCCGAGAAGGGCAAGGCGTAATGATCAGAGATGATGACAGGGACGCAACCTAAGTTAATCGCTGCAACCACTCGAGGGCTAGCGACTTCATAGCCACTAGGACAGAGACAGAACCTTGCCTTGGCCATTAGCTTGAAGTAGTCTTTGTTCTTGGTTAAGTACTCATGGACTTGAACCTCCTCGTCTTTGTCTTTCCAATGCTGCAGCAGAATCTTGCGGATATAGCCGTGTGAACCGCCTGCGAAGAAAGCAAGAATGGGTCGGTCGTGGCCCGAAGCGCGAGATAACCGAGGTGGGCCTAGTTGGCCCCCCGGGATGTTGATCTCCGGGATTGAGACGTCTCTTTGGGGCATGAAACCTTCTGATGTGTTGGCATTACAGAGAACTCTTATCAGGTTTTTCATCAGCTTGGGGTTCGATCCCGAGGCCTCTGGTGCCTGCAAGACGTCTTAAAAACGTTAGGCTTTAGTATCAGCAATACAAAAAATGACGTAACCAAAGAATATAAGTCAATCAAATAGAAACAATAGCTCAAAATGGACCATCTTAAAGATGTTAACGACACTAATCTTTCTAGAGGGAAATGTTAGTAGAAAATGAAAGAAAACGAACCCAATCATGGCAAGAAACGAAGAAATGGTCAGCTCCGAGACTTCTGTTCCAATAAGGATACTTGTGAGCCACAGTATTGACGTAGTCAAGAAACACATTGTGAAGTTGTTCTCTCGAGTAGGTCACGAGTGGCCGGTATAGGTAATGGACGACATTGGCAATGCTCACGGGGAGGAGGAAAGCGTGAGCCTCCTCGGGGTGACTAGCCGTGAATAGGCTCGTTTCTCTCTCGATCTCGTCCACGAATTGGCCTTCAATGCCGTATATACTGTTCATTGGACCCATGTGTACTAAAGGTGACTCTCCTTCTCTGTATACCCACACTTTGAATTTCTTCTCCATCTCTATTTGGCTTCTGCTCAAAAATTTTTTAATAACAAGTGTTGTTAATTGGGTTGAACTTGTTCATAGCAAACTAAAATGTTATTCTTCATTCGATAAAAAATTCATAACATAGTGAAGTACATTTGTTCCTACAAGTTTTCTGATGATAAATTTGTACATGGCTTTGTGATAACTTTGATGATAATCACTAAAATATCATTTTAGAATATCTTTTTATAGTTTAGATAATTCTGCTAAGAAGAGTAATTAGATTAACTTAATTCTGTTTTAACAAAACCCAATTTTATTTTAGCAACGAGCAAGAAATTCCGATTTTAAAAAGCCAATAAAAAGGTATAACAAATGTTGTAATTCAAAGATCACAGAGAGATGTGACCACAATTACCAAAGCAGGCTTTAAGTGAGCGCTACGTTTCTTTACCCGCACACCATTATGCATAGTATATAAATATTAAACAATTAGATAACAGCAAATACTTGAGGTTTAGTTTGCATCAAGATTTGGGAGAAATTTGATTTTTACAGTATAGATTCATTTGTATGTGAGTAAGTAAATGTATTTTGTTAAGAAAAGAAGTAGTAGTAAGAATACTTAAA